ACCTAATACACACTAAAGGCAACAAGTTTATATACCAATTTGTCATTCATAGTACATTTATACTAAACCATGAATAACAATACCTCAATATAAATTAAAGACTGCCACTCAACATATTTAAATATATGAAAAAATTAAAAAATATCGAAAAAATAAAAAAAATCATAATTTTTTTTATAAAAAATCAAGTGATTTAATCACATGATTTAATCATTTTGATTTAATCATTGCCAACCCTGATGGAAATCGCAAAGAATAACATCTTCACTATGTACACTCACTCACAAATACCTGAAAAACTGCCTATGATTCAATCCACAAATACAAAACTGACCACAGATGCAATCAGCTAAGACATACAATCTCCTTTCGTTGCAATCAGCCAAACAAAAAACATAAACAAAGAAGGTAGCAGGGATACCAACCGCACCGGCAACCAATGTGAAACCGACATCAATATAGTCCATAGTGGCAAAGCAGAGTTTTTTAGACTCCCCCTCAAGTTCAATTTCGAGAACTATAAGTAGACCAGTAAAGTATCATAGATACCAGCATTATCATACATAAGAAATTGGTTTAAATATCAAGTAAATGAGAAAATTAAAGCTGAATGGATTCTAAAAATTCTCTGGTTTGCTAGTCCACTATGATATAGTACCGTAAAATGGGGTAACTTAGACCACTTTTATTTTTATAAATGATGCCATTTTTTTACTAGCTAAATTAAACTTGAATTGAAACATGCAGGTCTAAGTTACCCCGCCGGTCTAAGTTACCCCATTTTACGGTAATGTGAAAAAATGAAAGATACGAATTCTTCTATATTAAAAATTTATCAGTAACTGACATTCAACAGAAATCAGAATGGTTTAATAACCTTTGTAAATATTATTCATGCATGCAGAATCAATCGTGTGCAACAGTGGCCGCGTGGCGGGAATCTATGATGGTTAGTTCTCATTAAGCAATCAGTGGGTAAGGTACCTACAGAACATTACTGCAGATAAAGCTCCCAAACTTCGAGATGATAATTGAGTGAAAACTTTACATGATATATTGTGAGCCTTCTAAA